CAATTACACCAACATCTTTACGTTGACGACTACAACCGACGATTAACTTATTGCAACTGGTTTTTGGATAAATACAGAGATGTGTGTTTTCCGTTTAAAATTATTTATTCAGTCGAAAGGCGGCTTACCAACTTAGGTATGTTCAATCGGAATAATAAAAGGTACATGTCACAAAAAAACTTACGTCTAATGCAAGAAGGACATTTTCAGAAGCGCTTTGGTTTCAACTGCTGGATCGACTACCTAATGAGAGATTTTGGGGAACAATTGAAAACTAGGTGTATAAAACTAGGTACGTCAACTACTCGCGAAGAACTGGAGCATAAAGCAGGCCATTTTGAACACTTAGAACCTTAATGACACGTTTTTGAATTTTATATAATAATGATAGGGTATGTATTTAATTCATTTGTATAGTTTACTGCAATGTAGACCAACAGGTCTATTTGTTTTTCTTCACTGACTATAAAGTTGTTGACATTTTAACTTCTGGTTCATCGCACATTTTGTATTTAGAAGCAACAGCTTAAATTGCTGACAGGGATAACTAGAATAATAGGACTTTTTACATAGGTATACCGAATGCAGATACGTGTTATTTGATGTTAGGTATTATCGTTCCTTACAATTATCCAGAAAAATAGTGAAAATAAAATAATGAGAGTGTGTAGTGTCAAATTATTCGTAAGAAAATGATCTCTCAGAAAGAGCTGACGAACCACTCCCTTTCTATTTGAAAAAATCAAATAAGCTGAAAAAAATAGTGTTTGTAACTTTTAGAAAATCTTTAAAATGACTGTAGGGTTAGTCGTCTCAAAATCGTATCTTTCCCGTGCTACTTGATCAGAAACGAAGGGATTTACAGGATCCATGGCATTCTAGATCGAAAAATAAAATTGAGATAAAAATGACATTATTTGTCAAATATTGATCGAAAACAGTAAAAATATATATGGTGTCCCAATTAAAAATCGAAAGTTGGAGTCGTTTCCGGCCAAACCGGAAGTACGTCAAAGCAAGTGAATATGACAAAAAATGTAAATTCATCTATAACGCGCAACGCCCAAATTTCATTTTTCTATCTTCAATAATAAAACAGTTATAGGGGTGAGCCACCTTGGAGAATCACCCGGTATATGGTCGACCTAGCTACACTAACATTCTGTGAATTACAGTGCACACTACTAGAAGGCTAATAGTCAATTAACTGTAGTACTCAGTATTTAGCATCTAGATCGTTCCCCGCATGGGTATCATGTAAAAAACCTAGATGTCATCTTGCAAACTAAGTAGTTTTTAGGGCGCAAACAATCATTCCACGTTTGCTCACTAGGATCGTTGTGAACATCCATCTAAAGAGGAATCACTCAACTAAACTACACGCATTATTGGTTGCATATGTTTTGTGAGGCCAAATGGTCCTTGTCTGTAGTTTTTATCTCTGAGAAGAAAGTTGGTTGAATAGCTAGATCGCATCTGGATGATTATGTGTATTGGTCTGCATGTGTATAAAATCAGTGATATTTGCTGTGTGAGAAAATCATTACTGAATATGCTGCCAATGAAGTATATCTATTGGCTGTGCCCGACGGGTTATTTTTATGTTGTGCTTTCTGAAGAGAGGTTATGTTCAAAGTTATAAATTACGAAAAACTGAGGAGAATTACGGGAAATCATCACCGCGCCCGCGTTGTGTGTACTTACTGTGTGTGTACAGTGAAAATAATTATTTCTTATCTCTCTCATTTTTGAAATTCAGCAAATTTGTATATGTAATATGTAATTTCCAGAATGGATAAGAAAAAGTGGATGCGCAACTAATTTCTAGCTTTGAATCTCAATTAAGTGTATTTGAGACAAGAACCCAATGTAATTCTCATCAACACATACAACTTACAGCTTAGACCTCCAGTAATGTCATCTCAGAAGCAGATTTTACATCACGTCAGAGCCAAAGATTGATAACAAGTCTCATGACTTTTAGGCAACACGAATAACTAAGTGCCAAGTCAAAATCTTGCCGAAAATCCTGCATAATGTCAAAAAAAACAGCATAATGTCAAAAAAAATCGGCAAAATGTCACTTTGCAAGATACGTGATACCCGTGTCGGCATTCCTGCTATTTCTGATCTCCCAGGCATTTCTCTGTTACATGTCTTTAACATTTGCTCTAATGGGATATCGATTTCGATAGCTTTCAGCAGAAAACCAAGCATTTCTACTGCACAATCCACAAATGAGGAACATTTTTGCATATTATTGTGACGAATAAGGTGCCTGAGGTGAATAACGCCCACCTAACTTCAAAGCTAAAAAACTCAGGAATTATATCAAAAAAATTGAAAATCAGCAGAAAGCTTTTTTATTCAAGTTAAGAATAAAACATAAATAGTAACACAGAAATCAGCATGAAAATAAACAGAACAATTTTTAAAAACTCTTGCCATCGGCCTTATTAAACTACCACAGTAATTTAAGGCCCGAAAATAAAATATTTCTTATGAAATTATCAACAAAACTCAAAGTTTTTGGCATTTTTCAGCAGCTAAAATCAACAAAATATTTTATTACATAAACTTAAGAGATAATAACAATGGACCTTATTAACCCCCGGGGGGTAATAAGGCCACTTTTTAAGTTATTACAAGATTTCTTATGTTAAATGAAATATCCTAAATCGGACTTTGGATTGGGAACTCTGGAAGTAGATTCGTTTAGAAATATTGTACTTGAACGACTAAGAGGTTCGAATGAATACAAATAAATAGTCCATCAATATAGATCCTAGTTTACCTAATGATAACGATACTTATTCATCACAGTTTTGACAATAAAACAATTTCTTATCATTTTTGGTCAACCCTACGCATTCTTCGTGGTACCATATGTGACATTTAATACAATGTCTCATATTCACACGATTTTCCTTGCAAGCACACCAAAATCAAGATTCTTCTGACGGAACTTCTTTTTTTTTCATCACTATGAGATCATTGTTGGTTTCCATTGTTAGTTTTCTTTTCTGTTTCTTTGGTTTTTCTTTTGTAATTTTTCAGTGTTGTTTTCTTTGTCTTCTCGTTTCTCATTCAATGCTTCTCGTTCTTTGAATAGGTCTTTGGCAATTCGTTGACCTTTTTAATTAATAGCTTTTCTCCTAGGCTTATTTTCTGTCACAGCATAGTTCGGAGTTGGCAATAGCTCTTGAAAAGGAGACCTAAATTTCTTAGCTTTGAAGTTAGCTAAAGGTATGTTGTCATCAGAACTGAAACTATCGCTGTCTTCGATTTTTCGTTTAGAACAATATATATTATCCATGGACAGTGATGATTTGTTTGATGCCAGTTTTGTTTTCTGCTGTACAATAGTCGTTTCAGTATCTGTCTAGGATTCTGAACTATAAATCACATGACGACGATATACAGACTTTGAAGTTGAGTCAATAATTTTCAGATAATGATTGTAGAAGGAAGATAAACCAAAATATGTGTGTAAAAATAAAAAAAAAATTAAAAAAAATTTTACCTTGTTTTATAAAGTATCCTCCCGACAAGTATTTCAGTGCGGACCTGTATTTGATCGTGAGGTGCCCTGTGAGGTCTTAAGTCACCTGATTCACGAGCCCGTTGTACTACATTAACAAAGGCACGAGGGGTTGGTTGCACTCGATTGGGAAACCGATCCGCATAAACATGTGCCATTTTTTATTTCGTTTGAGCCACGCAACAGACACTATTCACACGCGACTGACACTGACTGTATGTATAACTGAACTGAATTAAATAAAAACATCGTTCCAAATTCTTTCGCTTTTCTGTTTCCGATGCGATGAACCGATAAGGTGGATTATATCCGTTGTTGCCAAACACGAGTACATGATATTATTATTGAGACAGGGCGGTACTCAAACTTCCAAAGGGCTATAACTTTGTTACTTTAATTTTACCAGAAAAATGGTAAAGGAAAAAAACATTTCTTTTGATCAAATCTACTCACTGTTAAAATAAATGACTCAACTTTGAAGTCACCCTGTATATGAGACCTGTGATGTCTTGAAGTGGAAGATTGTGGTGACTGCATCAGAGCGACAACGTTTCTACTAATGATCTGTATCTTCTTAGGTGTTGTTTCTACATTACTCAAGATCTTTTCAGATGACTTAATGATGTCTTTATGTTGTTGATTAGTATTAACCGTCAAGGCATGCGGATCTGTGGCACTTTGGGCAGAACTTTTTTCAGGTGAATGTTGAACTTGCTCTAAAATAAATGGTGAATCGCCATTGTTTTGAGGCTGTTCTTCTAGCTGATTGAGACAATCTATATCGGAGCACTGGGTTCTGTTGGTGGTGGTAGCTCAGTTAAGATAGATGGAATATATGCCTCGTCAGGTAATATGTCCGGATTGAAAGGGTATAGGCCTGTAGCCCCAAAACCGTTTACTATATTTTCATGGGTCAAACATTGACACCAGACCCTTGTGAAAATTGCATTAAAACTGGTTTTCGTTACGCGTCTTTCCGGATTTTGGTACATGTATTTCAGAACATCCTGATCCCAATAATGTCCAAAGGATTTATTAACGGATTTATCGAAGGGGCTGTAGCTCATGAGTTGCGTTACTTGGGAAGAAATATAGGACTATGTCATGACGATCTGCTTCCTCAGCAATCGTATAATCGAAGATTAATAAAATTTTTCCCTTGAACCATATATTTTGCCAAATGTTTGATGAACTCAACAAATAATTCGGTTGTCATACTTCCTTTCGGTGACATTTTTACGAAACTGCCGGCTGGTAAATTGTCACTAAATTCAGGTTTCTGCCTCTGCCCTTTAAATATTATCATTAGCGGAATAGCGGTCCCCACACAGCGATCGTTACATTTTGAGCATGCTCTGGCGCAATTAGATGAACTCTTTGAGCTCCTTTTGGTGCTAAAACTGTGTGTGTTATGAACAGTCAACTGGCATCCCTTTTCATCTATATTGTAAAGTTTTTCTGGATGCGTTGCTATATCAAGTTCGTCATATAATTTCTTAACTTCTTCAAAGTGGTGACTTACGATTGGTCTGTTCACCTTTTGCGCCCTGGCTGGATTCATGAACTGTGCCTTTCGTTTTGAAATGTCGCTTCAAAAACATATTTAGCCAGTATTTGCCAGCAAGGCCAAAGTTTTTGTTAAAATTATGTTTAAGTTCATATTTTTCGCAAAAGATGAATGCTTGTCTACGAATAATCTTAGGAGTAAGTGGTATCTCAATCTTACGATTCTGTTGACAAGATCGCGTTCTTGAGCTTCATTCATAATAGAACTGCGTCATAGACGTCGTATTATACTTCCACTTTTTAAGTGGTTCCTCAGCGTACGTCTAGGTATGTTATATAGGTCTGCTGCACCACGCTGCGTCAACTGCCCTCGTTCTACAGATTCCATAGCAGAACGTATGTTTTCTTGCGTCCACTGAGCTCGTCGTGGAGGCATGTCTGTCCAGTCTGTAAGTAGAAAAAATATGTTGAGTTGTATAAGAAAGGTAGGGTAATAAGGCCCATGACCTATTTCAGTGGGCCTTATTAGCCGCTTAGCATTATTTTGATGAAACCATCAATTCACAACAAAAAGAGCTCTTATTTACGATGAAAACCATATAAATTATATACTATTGCATCTGATGTTTAATGAAATTACGATGCGTTATCGCTTAATAACAAATGAATAAGAATACTCACATTTCTTGGTCACTAATAATAATAAATCGGAGTGGTGTAGCGCACTCTTGTCACAAATCGTTGGGTACTGGCAAAATGGCGGCGCGTGTCGGCCGCATGCTAACGTCGCGGTATACCTATCGGTCTTACGCATGTGCGAGTCAAGTTTGAACCGGGATACAAGTATTTTAGCGCGAGTTTTTGAATGTGGGCCTCATTACCCCCGGGCCTTATTTGCCGCAGACACCTTACGATATTTTGTAGCAATAATAGCACGGACTTTAGTTTATTATCCCACGCATGATCTATTATTCTGTTTGGATTACCAAAGCCCGTTATCGGGTACGGTAATACGGCACAGCCTCCGTAACCTTTTTATCACACAAAATAATATTAAGGCCGCCATCCGTGGCATTGATTTTAATTTGAAGAATGTAGAAATTTGACAAAGATAGTTACAGAATATGTTCATAAAATGCAGTATTTGTCTATCTTTCGCAGATTTAGGATATCTGATTACTTAAAAGGTATTTTGGAATGTCATAATGTACTTTTATACATACATGTACTTTTTTCTACGAGTCAATTTTAATATGCTTAATAATATTTGCTCTTACTATACCTACATTAACTGGACTAAGTTGTCACTCACAGCTTTTTTCAGCGAGACATCATCGAGTAACGATTTTCTACAAATTCCTAAAAATGGCGATAACTCAAAAATCGTGCACAATCGTATAACATTATATGGTTTTTCTGATAGGCAATGCCCCTCCTATTACTCCTACTGCATTGACTAAGAACGTATTTATATTAAAGTAATTGTGAGTATTTAATCTATAGTTTATTTTTGAAAGGAATGTAAAATTTCTAGTCTAGTGATGACTCACAAGTGCATAAAAGATTGGAGTTTCACAGAAACAAAATCACACGTAATGTTATGTATTATTTTTTTCTAAGGAAGCCATGATTTATTTGTCAGAAAATGACATTAATTAAAATACACATCAACGCCTTGAATTATCAATTAAATTCTAACGTTATTATCGACTTCTCAACAAGTCAACTGTTTTGGGAGAAATTCCCAACTATGAGTGTATTAAAAAAAACAAGTCAGAAAAATATTCGTTTATTTTACACTTGAACAAACAAATATTTTACAAAATTGTAATGTAATGTAAAATCTAATTATGTAAGTGGGTATTAACTTACAGATTTGCAAAATAACGTCCATTTGCATCCAGACATTTTTGACAATTGGAAAATTCTTTGTCTTCTATGGTCGCGGGAGGGTCAAATTCATATACCTCATTGTTTTTGTGTTCCCAGAGGTAGAACTCCAGGGCTGAAAGGTGATCCAGGTGGCCAAGATATTGAACCATTTAATGAAATTATTCTTTCATCAAACTGCTCTGTTAAGAAGTTCCTGACTTGAATGGTGTTGTGAGCCGGATATCCATCTTGTTGAAACCAGACTCTTCTAAACTCATTTTCGGTTAGACTAGCTCGTAAAACCGGCACAACCTGCTTTCGCAAAAGCTCTAGGTACCTTTGTCCGTTTAGGTTATAGTCAAACAAAAATGGTCCTATAAGTCGAAATCCTGAAATGATTAATACCTAATTTCAAATGGGTGCCCAATTAAAAACCGTAAGTTAGATTAAATTACTAATGACCCCACATCAAACGGTAGTTCCAAATCTGGTCTGTAAATGTCTCTCTGCCACTTCTTGAGGGTTTTCCACAGCCCAAAGATGAGTGTTATGCTTATTAAAAACTCCATAATTCGTAAACCTTCTCTCATCCGACATGATTTACAAAATCGGGATTTTCATTAGACTTCCTAGTATACCACAGGTTGTTCGAAGACCTCCCATGGTTTATTAAATTAACTACTATTTTTCTAAATTGGGTTTTATGAAGCTGCCGTCGTTCAGGGTACATCTCCAGTACCTTCCTAAGGTAATGTCGGCGTTTCTGTGAGACTGCAAGTACAGCCCGGACATATCACACTTTTCTTCATTTGAGGAGGGAATACCGGCCATTTTCAACAGGTCTCGACAAATTTATGGTTTTAATGAGAGAAAACGTACCTACTACTTATTAAAGCACAATGTTAATACTTTGAATCATTTAACGTCAAAGTCAGAGTCTCCGTAGATGAAAAAAACGCGTTACTTATTAGTTTTATTTTCTGAAAAATATATAATGGCCTCCTTGGAACAAAAATAATACATAACATTACGTGTGATGATATTTCGATAATACTCCAATCTTTTATGCACTTAGGCTGGAAATTTTACGCTCTTTTCAAAAATCGAAAAATCCAATATGGCGGCCATAAGAAAAATGAAAGTTGATGCAGGTTGCGGGAAAACAAAAGGCGATTGAAGCATGCCATCTCATTTTCCTTCTAAAAATGCCCGAACATTTTGACATTTTCGGTTATTCGCCGATATTTCCAAAACCACTGACCGATCGTAAATCTGAAGACGGCTATCGAATGCACTAAGTTTCCTCTAAAACTTCCCCCATTTAACCTTTGCTGTAGGTATAACAGGAGCCGAGATCCCTGCATAGAAAAGCGAATCTGGGACACACTGTATACATTATACCATATAAAGAAAACCACACCTAGCCTATGTTAAGCACATGTTTGGTATAAATGTCCTTCATTGACCTAATATGTTTCATTAGGAGCAAGAAATATTGTAACAATGGTTATGGGTCACTAAGCGCCTTATGCTTATGCAGCTACTACACCAACAATGGCAACATTCGAATATGAAGCTTGTAACCAGTTTAACAGTATATTACTTTCAATTAAAAACAGGTTCCAGAAAATTCAGTTTAATTGAACCGAATAATTTAGTTAATTAGAGTAATTAAGAAATTTATTTCGGGTAATGAAAACTTTCTAGAACAATTGTTTAATTGGTCACGTTTTCTCAGTGTATATTCAGGCATTGCTATATATGTTTTTTACCGACCATCAATATAGGGTAAACCCGCACGCTTATGCCAAACAAGTTGTCATACTGAGAATGACAATCATAACGTAAATGTGGAAGACGCTTTCGTTGCCGAGAATTCTTTCAGGGCGGTGAGACAAAACAAAAAGAAAGGAATGCCTGAGAGCTTAACAAACGCCCGGGCATGGAAGCCGATTGCATAAGTATGTGTCAGGTAGATGGGTGTATGAAATTAATTAATATATCTTTACTGTGACTCGCCAAAAACCTCGAAAACACATACAATAGAGTATTACCAGGTCCCATGGTTAGAAGCTCGTTTGCGATGGACTTGCGTTCTGTCCTCACAAGATCTGCAAAAAAGACGATCGTATTGGTACTACGTGCATCATCTTGCATGAGTTGTTCTTCCGATGCTGTTACCTTGTAGCTCTTCGTTTCGTGTTCCATCTAAAATAGAAACTCCACTGGAATATACTCTAGCAACACTTCTCGTTGTAATTCAGCAATAGGAAATACTTATGAATGTGATTCGAATATAAGTTAATTATTTTTTTTTATTGACTATATACCTCATTGTGACATATTCATTCTTATTTTCTACTGAAGCGCTATAAAATAAGTATCAATTAATAAAAAAAAAAAATGGAAAAATACACGGTAAATTTACACCGATAAAAATCAGGGATCAGTTAAATCAGAGGAGACGTGAATGTATTAAAAATGAACATGTCGCCGAGTGTTCAATTGTCTACATTCTACAATATAACAAATTCGTAGTGTATCACATTTTTGTACTTTGTGTAGCTTGTATTGAAATTTTTTAATGTTCTTAAATATGTTAATTTTAATTCTATGTATTAAATTCCCTCTCCAGATAAACTATACAAAGGGTACTGAGAGACCGAATCACTTTAGATAGTGACTAATGGGAAAGGTCCTACTGACCGCCCAGACAAACAAATAGTGAATAGTACCGAATCACAAAAATAATTATTTTTTATAAAGTCTACGCCATCTTTCGATAACTTGGAAACTATTGGTATAGGAAGACATCAAGATAAGTGCGAAAAATAACAGAAGTAAGGAGTTGCTCTTCACTATTGAACAAGCGATGGTTTATCATATGATTTTGGCTTTTTTCCTTATTGTGTTCCAAATGGTGGCTACTATCACCCCTTAAATGGTTGGTATCGACCTTTCGAACACCCTGTATATCAGTGAAACAAACCAGTCCAACGGCATCGGGCACGAACTCCTCGCAACTGTCCTCATTTTCACTCTCATGAAGCATGTCCTGGACCGCGGAACCGGTGATACTCGCCACGTAGCTGACAGAAGTCTCTACAGATACTGAAAAGCTCATTTTCTGTCTTATTGAAGGTCTCCATGACTCTTCGCTGCTGATTGTCTCCCTTGCCCTCCGATTATGCCTTTCTACAACTCTGTCTTTGTTCTCCACAGGCAAAGAGTTTCTACCGCGTCCTGAAAAAAATCTTAGTTCAGTATTCGTAGCCCCACATTTATTTAGTAATCGACCCTTGAGAGCTCTAAGGGTTGATTAACGCTTTAATTTTAAACAAACAGTGATAAAGATTTTACATTTGAATTTCACAGTAGGCTGCAACAGTTGTCATCACATATTTTTGAAACTTTAGTAAAGTGTCGATCTATTCAAAATTTTCAATTTTCATTTGTCCTTAGATTCGTCATGCTAAAACAATTAGAGCTCCATTCTTTTCAGTTGCTGGAGGCGGACTTTTTTATTTTTTCTTCCACTGAGATTAATAATGTTTTATGAAATTACAGTGATATCAATGTATTTCTTGTTAGCAAAAAGTTAACAAGACATATATGACTGCCTCCAGCAACATTAATTTAGTTATCTTATTGTAATTACACCTTAGATTTTTCGTCTAGGCTGTCTGTCTACCGGCACAATCACCCTATTCCGTATTTCCTTAGACATAAATAAGACTCATGGCTCAGGGATCTCAAATTGTCGAGTTGTTGGACTGCAAGTAAATATATGTCTCTTTTGCTTCTGGTCCCACACTATTGCTATTAAAAAATCGATCGCCGTGGCCCAAATATTCGGAACGGCACCGTTGTTTTTTGGGTATTTCTTAACCGCTGTGAATATAGTGTGGATGTTAGTTAAGTTCCTGGACAACGAAAAATATTCAACTTTATGGATGTATGGATATTAAAAAACCAGAATGGTTTTGTGGGAATATCAATCTAAGGCGCCATAATGGTTCTGATGAACGGCAAGTAAATGAATGAATGTTTTTAAACGAGCAATATCTATGAACTTTTTGGTTGAGCCAGTCATCAAGTAGGTGCTTAATGGCTATCTGCAAGAAGTTTATGGGAAAAAACACCCAGTAGATGATCTTGAATCAGTAAAATCGCATATCAATTGAAGAAAATAATATAGACATGAATAAAAAATCAACAATAGTAATTAAATCATGAATTTTATTCAAAAATCAAACATTTGTTTAAATTTTGACTGAATTATATGTAATTCCTTAAGATTCAATAAGCTAATGATGTTTCAATGACAAGATGTCATCTCATACTTTGACAGTATTTTGTTTTCAACATTTCATAGCTATTGGTTGCTAAAATTTGTTGATTGGAACTTGAAGCTCATTCGCTGTATTTAACGGGCTGTTACCCTATACCTAGGTGGAGAATAACGGACTGTTCTTGGTGAAATTGGCCCTAAATGGGATAGTCGGAAAGCTCCTGGAGAATTTCTCTAATTGCTTTCGAAATTTAGTAACACACGGTTTTATGCCAAACTACTTTTTCCGCCACAAAGCATTATACAATGTTTACTCACCACTTCCGAGAATGCGTGAGCCTCTGTTGAGCAGGTGGAAACTGCCTGTGTCGTAGCTCATGTGCATCGGAGCAAAAATATCGCCAATATCGGAATGACGTGTTCTATCTTGAGACTTTTCATGTTCTTCGCTGCTCAGTGGTTCCACTGCTGGCTCGGACATCTTCTACTAAACCATTCAGTTTCATGTAAAACCAGGTTGAGGTTAAGCAACTGACACCGATAGCCGATATCAATGTCATCATCATTCATTGGAATTGACATACAGGGTGTCGTATCGATAAACTTCTCGACAAGTAGGCATATGATATTTTTGAAAATTTGCGAGTATACTAACGTCGATGAGGCAACAGCAGCTAAAATATTTTCAAGATGATGGCACTTCCGTTTATATCGGAAGATGATGCCAACTTGCTTATTTTAAATTGGACACCCTGTATGTTACTCAATAGTCGGATTCTACAAGAAATTCTAATCACATTTCATGTATAATCTCCTATACCCAAGTCTAACCGTTTTTGACATATTTCAAATTTTGTCAAAAATTACTTTTGAGGGCCCTAAAATAATTGTTCATTTCCCCTATATAGAACACCTTATTGTTTAATATGGATTGATTTTCTCGTAAACAGGGATATCGTTTAATAGACTTTGTATGATATTTCGATAATTATTTATACAGGGTGGTCAAAAAGTTATATATAAAAATTGAATGTCAAAAATTGTCAAAAGTCGATTTTTCCAAATGAAAACGACCAATTTTTATGAGTTTATCGCATCAAGCATTAAAAATTAGCGTATCTTTATACCGGGTTATCTATCCCAAAAGTGTTTACTTTTCGAGTAATTTGCAAATTACCTATTACATTTCTATTGTAAAACTTATGTAAGCACAGATTTAGTTTTTTAAATAGCTGGGTATGACGGCGGGACGCAGAGAATAAACAATTGAGCACTACAGAAATATCACTACGTCTAATTTTAAGCTTTTAGTAATAATATAATTAATAATTTTCATGTATTTGTAATCAGAATAACATGAAGACTAATTACGATAAGTTTGCTAGTAGATTTCCAAACAAGCACACATACAGGAAACAATAAGCTATTTCGATTTATTTAACTTTCATACTATTATGAAAAAAAATTAAAATACAACAAGATACAACTTATTTTGGTAAATGTTCAAAATGACCATCCCTAACTTTCAAACATTTAAAACATCTACGTATTAACTCCTGATGAGTGGCAGTGCTTGATTGATGATTTCCGGACTCAAACTAGCAAATGCATTTCTTATTCTCTGCTTACAGTCATCTAGAGTGATCAGTGGTTCTGGTAAAGAATATTTTTTATTGTCCCCCATATAAAGTAGTCCAAGACCGTTAGATCTGGCGAACCGGGTGGTCACTTGAATGGTCCATTATTAGCAAACCATTTATCGTAAAACGTAGCTCCTAAGAAATTGTTTATTAAGTATCTGTTGTGGGGTGGTGTACCGTAACCTTAAATATTATTTGGTATTAATAATAATAATTTTTATCACCTCATAACGTTTTCTTAAAAATCCAAATATTTTTAAATGAGATATTTTAGTCCTAATGTTGGCAATGCTGACCTTATGTGTTAAAAAACTTATACTACTGATATTTGCATATTGCACATTCTTATCAGTTTCTTTTATAAAAAAACTGTTAATTGCTAACTTACCATTTAAATTTTCTTCATAAAACTTTAGAGAGACAACTTGATTATCTCTGACAGCGAAGTATACATTGAATTGCCAATTTATTGTCCTGGAGGTTTCTTTCTCTTATTATATGGAGGTGTCAAGATCCCAATAATGAGAATTGTGTCGATTGAAAAGGCCATTTTTGGTACATTTTGCTTCATCTGACCATGTAATATTTTTCAGGAAAAAATCATTTTCTTGATACCTTGTAATAATCAATTCTCAAAATTGAATTCTTTAAAAAAAATCGGTTTCTTTTAATTGTTGGACTAATGATAGCTTGTATGGATAAAAATTATGTTTGTGCAAAATTCTGCTAACGGTATCTTTCGTAAAACCTGACTCTCGTGCAGCTTGTCGTAAAGACATCATTGGAGAAGCATAAAAATACCCCAAAAATGCTATTTCAATGGCTTCATCGTTAATTAAGCTTTTATTTCTTTGAATTTTAGGCCACACACAACCGAAATTTTTGAAATTTTCTATTGATCGTTTAGCGTCCCGTCCCGTCTTCTTTTTTCTGGATATCTATGAGGAAACACATCACATGTTCTCTGTTGCATTCACCATAAATAATAAATAAATTGAAATATTCTTCGTAGTAATAATTTATAAATAAACTGTCAAATCGTCGATGATACAAGAAAATATATTATATTGTTTTAGGAATAATAGCATTATTATTGTGATAAATGCAATATCATAGTTTAGTTGAGCAGTTTCTGAATGATACTTAAAGAAAGCTGAAATTTTCAAAACAAAAATGGAAAATAGGTAAAATTAGGAATTACGTGTTTTTCCTATTTTAAACGCCATATAAAGTGGAGTTACGTGGTTTTCTTGTCTTAACAACGAAATGTACTTATAGGAGTTTTACAATAGAAAAGTAAAACATTGCAAATTACTCGAAAAGTAAACATTTTTGGGATAGATAACCCTATATAAAGTTACGCTAATTTTTAATGCTTGATGTGATAAACTTATAAAAATACGGTGTTTTCACTTGAAAAAATCCACTTTTGGCAATTTTTGACATTCAATTTTTATACTAATTTTTGACCATCCTGTATAACTAATTATCGAAATATTATACAAAGTCTATTAAACTACATCCCTGTTTACCAGAAAATCAATCCACATTAAACAATAAGGTGTTCTACATACTAGAAATGAACAATTATTTTATTATCAAATGTGAATTTTACTCAATATTCCAATTTAAAATAAGCAAGTTGGCATCAATTTCCGATACAACCGGAAGTGCCACCATGTTGAAAATATTTTAGCTGCCGTTGCTCCATCGACATTAGTGTTCTCGCAATGTTTAAAAAATAGCATATGACTACTTTTCGAGAAATCTATCGATGGAGTTGCCGATGCGACACCTTGTAGTGCATTCTCTTTTACACCAAGACCTCAGGATATACACGTATTACATAAGCGGATCTTTGACAATATTATTAACCACCTTGACAGCAAAAGTAAGCAAATTTCTTACTCCTCCTACCATGCTTACATAAAGAGTTTGATACATTTTATAATTTTTAGCAAGAATTGGCTTTCACGCACATTTTTTCACACCGAAACAGCCCCGAAGGCATAAGCCACCGCGGCTGCTAAACTTTGTTAATTCGATTTTTGAACTGAGATTAGTAGAAGTGGGAAAAGCCTCCTCTTGTAGATTGTTCCACAATCTCGACACCCTAGTGACAAAGAAGCTATCATATCGGCAAGTTCGACATGGTTAGGATATGGCAGGCTGAAGTCAGGCGGGTCTGCCTGGCAGTCAAATCACGAGGTCGCATCATGGAGGAGAGCTCTGAGGAGCAAAGCCCATTGGCGTTCTGTTAGAGAAGAGTAATCGATAAGTCGGACAGCCCTCCTATGGACAGTATTGAGCATGAACAATGTAGTCGAAGCAGCAGTACCTCAAACGTGTGGACAATAATCTAGGCTAGGTCTTATGTATAGAGTGAGGAGGTCATGCAGAGAAAAGTACTTCTTAGCCTCAAACAAATAGCCTTGCTTTTTCCCAGCAGCTGTCGCTATTGACGAGGTGTGTTCGTGTCAGATTAAGTCCTCGGTGATATGGACTCGGCCATCCATCGTAGCCGGACTTTATGAGTTTACTCTAAAATTGCGTGACATAAGCTAAGAGGTACCCTGTGGATCGCTGGTACCGGTAGCCATACTTCCTATCACTAATCAAGCCGTGACGTTCGAGGTAGCCTAGAAGCTCGCGATTTATGCACCTCTTCGTCACCTTACATAAAGCAGAGCTATAGGCCTGTAGTTGTAAGGGTCAGTCTTTTATCCCTTTTTATGAGTTTTGAGTTTTCTGGGAAGGCGCCGGATTTGTAAGATATCTGGAAGAGATGCGAAAGAGCTGCAGTAAGCTCCGCTACACACCTCTTCAATACAACGGCAGGAATCAAGTCCAGAGCAAAAGCTGTGATGATGTCGAGCGTCAAGAGCACCTATCTTACGGTCTTATGTTTGAATGTTACTTCCCGCAGGCAGCTTTTTGAATTGACGACACTCGGGTGTTGGGGGTCGTCCATAGTGGAGAAAGATATTGGCAAGCACTTCCGCCTTAGCCTTTGAGTCTGCTGCAATCGTTCCATCCTGACACATAAGTGATAGAAGGCTACTATGTGAGAAGTTTCTTCAAATCTGCTTGGAGAGCGTCCAGAAAGACCGACTGCCATTGCGCTGCGACATTACTCTGCCAGATATGTGTTACATCTTCTAAATACCATTTAATGTCTGGAAAATCAGGAACATCTGGCTCGATCGATACAACATACTTTGCAGTAACATGGTAACCATCAATTTCGACTCGATTATAGGTACGCATTTCTACCAGGAGCATTTATAGCTAGGGTTCTAGGCGAGTAAGCATATCCATATTTGGGCAATCCATGAAGATGCGTGTTGCTTTTGAGCATAAATAAGCACGGTTGCCGTACGTGTTCAAATCAAACCGACTAAATTTTGTATCAAATCCGGAAAAGTAAAAATAAATACTTCTGGCCGAATCACCATCTAGACCTCTCATTCCTCTTTTTATTAAACATATGCAAAGCCTCCCTTAAGTGCTGACGTTATACTTTAATGATCCCTCTCTACTAACACTCGTATCGCCTTAGGATGATATCATATCTAAAAAAACACATCTGTAGAGCTCTTTCACGTTCCAAAACCGAACCCTAACTCAATTATGTGTTACTCTTAATTTGTATTTGTTATCTGGATGGATTGACTAATGAGATACTATTATTACAGAAATTTAAATCAGCTTGTGATCAAGCAAGAAACTTTAAGAAACGGCCTGCAGATGGAGACGTGCTTGAGTTGTACGGCTTATACAAACAAGCTACTGTTGGGGATGTTAATAAAGGTATGAGCTTCATTTTTTATTTTCCGCCAATTTTTGTAAGCTGATACGGACCTACCTGATACAACAAAACTGGAAGATAGAGTCTATACAATATTTGTGCAACGTGTGCGATGATTTGAATCAATTTCGATGAGCATTTAACTATTAAGAAATCATTAAATTCGAATTTCTTTAGCTTTAGCCTCCTGGAATTTAACTCATAGTTAAATGTCAAATAGCGTTTAAAAATGCAACACATCCCATCGTCATTAATGTACTGGGTGTCCATAAAGTAGGTATCGATCTGTCAAAGTATCTCACAAATTAAATTTCTTAGAGAAAAATGTTGCAGAACAAAGTTGTGATGTTTGAAAATGGTTATAATGGTGATCTTGAACGTGACCTTAACTATGGCCTTCAAGGTCATTTGAAGGTCTAGAAAAAATTCTTGAATATTAACTGCATTTTTGACACCGAATATGTAAAGACAGGAAAATTTTACGCTCAGGCATTCCTTGTCCATGATGTTCAAAGTCATTTTAAGCTCAAATTAGTTTTTTGATACCAGAGATCATTTGAGTGTCAAATGAATATTTTCAAAGGACGTCCCTGAAGTTAGCTTCTGATTCAGATTCGAATATGATCAAACTACAGTCGACCAGTCAGTGGCGCTCCCAGGATTTCAGTCTGGGAGGGGTAAAATGGAAATTAAATTCTCAGTATGACGCACTGGCGGATTTAGACGGGTTCGCGGTAGGCGCGCGCCCCCCCTAGACGTCTGACATATGCTTTTGCAATCTAACACCATTGTGTTACTTTCTGTCACATCATGGTGACAGAGGTATACTAACTATAAGTTATATCTATAGAAACTGAGCCATTATGATTTTTTGGTATCCTTTGGTATTCCAAATGCTGTCCCTGCGAGTATTGTGACTTGTGACAAATCTAAGTCTGGGTAATATATTAGCTATACAGATTGGACTTAAAAAGTGATTTATGTTCTCTTTGTTGCTCAATAGAAATTTGAAAAGGGTGTAAAGCTTGACTGATTTTGTTTTGGATTATTTTTGCAGCGAAGCACTATGTTAAATGAATGCCTAAATTGGAAATATACATTTATGAGATTTGTTTAGTGGTGCGCCTGTTAATACGCAAAAAGAAGGTGGCAGACAAGGATCAGTCGGCCGAGGCGGTACCACCCTATAGCTTTTCCCAGGGTGTCTTATAAATGTCCGCATGTTTCCACACCTAAGCTATGCAGTCGGTTATCTTCCAAAACAAATAAATTAATGATGATGGATTCCTCGAGTACTAAGAATTCCGGATGTAAGCTCACTCCACTCTCAGAATGTCCGAGTGCAGGGTGGACTCGAGGGAACAACATCGATGATAAAATTTGTTTCACGAACATCTGCGAGATTAACAGCAACATTGATGCTGTTTATCACTACTTGCAATCCAATCGTCCCGCCATGCTTTTCTTGACGGAGACAAAAATCTCCGAGTCCGTACCGATTAACCATCTTAGCTTACCAAGTTACGAGGTGCACTCCAATCTGAGAAAGAACGTGGGAGTTTTGGCCTTTGTCCGCAGCAGTCTTACCTGCTGCAGAGATGTTTCTCTGGAATCAGACCGGAAGGACATTCTGTGGCTTCGCCTCAACTCCAAAACATCCCCCAAAACTATTTGCTACCTTTATCGCTCCCCTCGGACCATAACTGCGATGACCTTCTTGAATGCCTCGCCATCAAGATCGACTTCCTGAACATCAATCACTCCGCTTCAGAGGTAGTTTTCTTCGGTGGTTTCAATGACCATAATTTGCTTTGGTTGGGCTCAAACAAGACCGATGCAGCAGGTCGTGCAATTAAGGGCTGTCCCAGCTGGTGACGGGCCCTACTTTTTTGCCCCGGTTTTCGTCCCATCCCTGTATCCTGCTGGATCTCTTAATAACCACGCATCCTGTCCCTTACAGCGCTGCTGTCCTGTCTCCCCTGGGTAACTCAGACCACTGTGTTGTGGAGGTTACGTTTCGGTCAGAACCCGCTGTTTCGGCAAAAACTCGCACAGGCCGCAAAATTTGGCATTACGGACATGCCGACTGGGAGGGGCTCAGAGACTTCTTCTCTACCTTTCCTGGGAGAAATGTCTCTGTTTCACTGACGCGGATGCGTCGGCTGTCTGTTCTTCGATAAACAAAAAAATAACAATAACAAATATGTTACGACTTCTATAAAGTATAAAACTGAATGTAAATCAAAATAAAACTCTTAATCATGAGGAAAACACAAAAAATACTCATTGCATAATTACATTCTCTTAGCCAGTCTCAAAAAACAAAAACATATAAACTATGAAACTACATCAGTTCACAGTCTCAAAATAAAACAATCATTACATTAGCTTAGAAAGTGATTTGAACAGAATTTGAACAGATTTTTATATCAATCTGCTGGCCAATAAATAAAGTTACATACCTTGACTGGATACTTTGGAAAAGATCACCGTGATGGTTTAAACGTAAGTAAACTCTCAACTACATCGGCTTTTTTTATTTATTGGCCAACAGAAGGGAGATGGATTTGAGACACAACCTTAGGCAAAGTTCAGGCGCATATTCTTTTTGCTGGCGAACCGATCTATTCACGTCTATTTTAATATCCCTATGCATATTCAAAAGAGCTAAACCCACTAATCGCTCTTGTAACATAGTGGAGCGCAGCCAAGTTTTTATCCTCTTTAGATGGGAGAAACTTCTTTCAGATGTCGCAACCCTTACCGGCAATGAAATCAATAACTGTAGGCACCTATTAATTGAAGGAAAAATGTTTTCATCACATAATAAATACAGTGACATTCCACTGTCTATAATATTTTGTGTACGTGACTTCTAAAGTTCAAATTCTGCTTTTAATCTGGTACTTATTAAATTTTTGTTTTCGTTACTATTTAGACTTTTAGACCATGCAAATATTTAGAAGTTGTTTACTAATATGTCCATTACTTCAGCTTCAGCTTATGAATTAAATACTGACGCAAAGAAAATATTAAAATTATATATATTCAAAGATTCTTCATTGAACCGGTCTACCAAATCCTATAATATATTATCCTAGCAAAGGGGCATATAGGTTCAGTCTGTAATGATTTTCCTTGTCAGACGTAACTAAGTTCGGTCTGTTCATTAATAATAAGTAGTCCTTTATTTAGAAAAAAAAATCCTAATTTAACAACAACAACAACAACTGGTAGCATTACAGCATTTCACAAGTGCATACATATACAGGGTTATCCAAATTAAGTGTCCACCATTAGTAACTTTGTTATTAGTGAAAATACAAAGTTGTTTGAATTAGCAAACTAGTAGAATTTTTAACGCTGGTAAAAATGAGAAATAAAAAAAAACAATTGAGAGTCGTTATTTTGATTTTTTTCAGTAAAATAACATTTTTTTAAATGGAAACCCCTGTATATTATATTTTTTTCTGTTAAAGCATCAAATTTTAAACAAAAAAGTTCATAATGACTTTTCCGCTAAAGTCAAAAATAAAGTTAAAATAACGATAAATATTTTTAATTATTTGCAGTATTATAATATTAAGACGGCTATGAAAACAACATGGCGTTCGCGATTTGACAGCATTAAGATAAGCGACAAATTGTTAAACTGGACATACTCGCAACTAGAAGGCTTTGGAAAACAATGATAAAATCAAATAATGTCAAACATTAGTGTAAATACTTGTTTATAAGCTTTATTGTGTCATTAATTTAAAGAAAAATGTTCTCCCATGAAGAAAAGTGTGATATGTTAGAATGCTATTTAGTGTGCAGAAAATCCTCCTTGAGAGCAAGAGAATACTACAGTGAATTATATCCCGCTCGCATTCAACCGTATGAACGATATTTTCTGAGACTTTATCGAAAATTTAGGGGCAACGAAAATGTTTTTGCTAAAACAAGGGCAAAAAAAGAATTCATAATAAGCGAGGCCACGGAAATTGCAGTTATTGGATATTTTGAAGCTTATCGTGAGAATTCAATAGCAGATATTCTCAAGGACTCTAATTTCAGTTATGGTACTATTAAAAGGATTTTAAAAAAATACAAATTTATTCCGTATAAGTACCGACCAGTTCAAACGCTTTTGGCAGGGGATCCAGAGAGAAGACTTGTTTTTTGCCATTGGTATCTTAGCTTCTGTCGCCAAAATGTAAATAACTTTCGTTACCTTTTATGGACAGATGAATCAAATTTTTCAAATTCTGGAATGTTTAATAGAAAAAACCACCATTATTGGTCAAGAGAAAATCTTTTGTTAGTACATCCAAGAGGCCCACAAGTTCGTTTCAGTTTCAACGTTTGGTGCGGTATAATTGGTTCAAAAATTGTTGGCCCGTTCTTTTATGAGGGAACCCTAACTGGTGAAAGATATGTGGAATTTATGTCAGAAATTCTGACTAATTTCTTAGACGAATTGGATCTTATAAATAGACATCATCTGCATTTTCAGCAAGATGGCGCACCTGCCCTCAACTCCAGAGGTACTTATCATTTTCTAAGTACTACTTTTAATGATCAGTGGATAGGAACAAATGGCCCAATACAGTGGCCTCCCAGATCACCAGATCTAAACCCACTTGATTACTTCTTGTGGGGTTACTTAAAGAACCAAATTTACAAGCGAAGGTACGATAACCTTGACGCGTTAAAGACTGCAGTTAGGGAAAAGATAACCCAGATAGATGGTAGGACCATACTTAAGACAGTTCGAGCAGTTGAAAAACGTGCCCAAAAATGTATTGAAGAACAAGGTGGTGTTTTCGAGCATCTTCTTTAAAAAAAATTGTTATTGTATTTTGTAAGATTATAAGTTGATGTTGAAAATAAAGTTTGTCGATACAATTTAATTGTTTCTGATTGGAGGCCATAACTTCAACAATTTGTAACCTAGGAGAAAAGTTATTGTAAGCTTTTTTGTTTAAAATTTGATGCTTTAACAGAAAAAAATATAATA